CCATTAATGAATTAAATAATAATAATTATTATTATAATTATTATTATTTTTTGTTGAATGTCATCATCACTTTCAACACTCTAATTATTAATCAATAATTTTTTTTTGATTTAATTATTGAAAACAAAAAAAAATTGAAATAAATAAATACATTGTTTTTATTTACAATACAATACAATCCAAACTACATATAAATATTTTTTTTTATAGATATTTCAATGTTTAGCCAATATATATATATATATATATTTAAAGGTATTATTAATTTGTATTATTTATAATACTAATAGTATTAATACAATTTTTTTATATCATATTTAAATATTAGATATATTGATAAATTTGATTTAAATACATATAATAATAATCATTTTTTAATCATTATTATATAAATTTTTTTTTTAAAAATAAAAATAAATAAAAATTTATAAACTTTATTAATGTTAAATAGTAAATTCATCAATAAATAAATATCAAAAAAAAATTTTTACATATATTATTTATATTGATAATACTGTTAAAACTATTATATTTACTAATAATAATAAAAAAATGATTATTAAAAAATATATTAGTAAACAAAATGAAAAATATAATTTATATTTACTTTTTTTTTAAAATTGTTTATTAATTTTTTTTAAATATCATTCAATACATTAATATTTTTTTTAATAAATAAATAATTAGTAAATATTTAAATTATAATTCCGGTATAAATATATAACTAATAAATTAAAATAACTGATTATTAACTATCATTTCCGCAAATAATAATAATAATAATAATAATAAAATAATAAAAATATTTTAATTTTAATTAACAAAAACATTATATATATATATATATATATTGAAAATAAAATGAAAGTGTTTTATAGATAAAAGTGTTTATTTTGAGATTAAAACAACAATTTTTTTAATTAATTTTTTTTGATAAACTAATATAAAGATAACTTTAATTAAAAAAATAAATAAATAAAATCTTCCGTCTTTTTTGTGTTTAAAAAATTATATATTTTTTAAAAAACAAATAATTTATTTTTATCTTAACATTAGAAAACAATTTAAATTAAAACTTAACTTTTTAAGTTAAAAACTTTTAACATAATAAATATAATCTTATTTTTGATTTTTTTTTAAAAAACTAATATATTATTAAATAAGTTTTATATAAATATTATATAATAAATTTAAAAGTTATTTAACTTAATTTAAATTAAATTAATATTATTATTTTTTTTATTAAACTATTGTCACTAAAAAAATATTTGTATAAATAATATATGAAAATGTATTATTGATTTTCGGTCAAATCATTTAAATACATATTAAATGTTTTTTTTTATTAATGATATAAAAAAATTAACAAAATTTTGTTTTAACTAATCAAACGTTTCCTTTAAATTGTTATTTAATACAAATCAACAAAAAAAATAATTTTTTAGATTAATATTATCATATAATACAATATATAATAAATTTTTAAAAAATGATAGTTTAGTTGCATTATACATAAAAAATTTATATATCATTATCAATATTATCATTACTATCCTATTTAACATTATAATATTACTGTATAATATTATATGATAATAATAATTATTATTATTATTTTTGTTTGCAAAACACAAAAATTTTCATAATTGTTACTCAGATTTTACAATGACTTTATCTCATGTTTTATTTTGTTGATAAATATATATATTGTATGTATATATATATATATATATATATGTATGTATTATATTTGTTTCGTTACTTTCCCTGTGGTTTACAAACAACACAAACATACAGTCAGACACACACACACACACACACACACACACACACACACACACACACACACACACACACACACACACACACACACACATACATACACACATACATACACACATACATACACACATACATACACACATACATACACACATACATACACACATACATACACACATACATACATACACACACACATACATATACACATACATACACACATACATACACACAATAGTACAATAGGCTAACAGCACAGGGATGTGTTGACCTTTATTTATAAAAAAATTACTGTATGATTGTTATGCAATATCACAATAGACATTAACTTTTACTTTTTGTGTGTGTATGTGTTGACTACATTGACTTAACTAACTTTCCTAACTTACAGTATTTAAAATAATAATAATAATAATAATAATATATTATTTTATTTTATTTAATTTCAATAGCGTTTTTTAACTAAATAAAAAACATTTAAATATATAAAACATTACAACATATAATATAAACATAATATTTTTATAAATTTTCTAATATGAAAATTTTTATGATTAATTAAATTAAAAATAAATATATTTATTAAAAAAATTAGTTAAATGATTTATTTTTTTAAAATAAAAATATTGTGACCAGAAATATAAATTAGAAAAAAATTAATTTATTTAATTAATTAATTAATAATAATAAAATAATAATTACTTAATTAGTGTGCTATGAATAATATAAAAATAATAAATTTATTAAATATTCAATCAATAATTTTAATTATTATTATCAATATATTATTCATAGATAAATCATTGCAACAAACATTTAATAATCAAAATAATTATAATAATAATAATAATAACGATTATTATTATGAACAACACGGGGACAGTCATAAATGGGGAAAGACATCATCATCACTAACTAGACATCCATTTACCGATACTAATAGACAACATCGATGGCGGCAACAATTTCATGGAAACTATTGGCTAAATAATAATAATAATAATAATAATAATAACATCAATATAGTGGACATACCAGACATACCAGTAGTGCCCGATATACCCGACTATCGACGGCACAGTTATCATACAATTAAAAGTCGTGGACAACAACAACAACAACCGCAAAATTATCGGCAATTTTCCGATAAAATTGCCGATAATTTTCAATTTATGGATAATATGTTTCCGTTTGATGGACATTATCATCGCAAGTAAGCAGTTATTAATTTTAACATTTAAAAAAAAAATAATAATTATTACTAAAAAATTAGTTTTATTTATCAAAAAAAATTGTTTATAATTTTTTTAATAATTATTAAATAATTTATAACAACTTATATTTATATAAAAAAACTATTTAACTATCTATTAATATATTATTAATCAATTAAATAAATAAATATTATTATTAGATTTATTTATTTTTTTAATTAATAATATATTATTGATTATTGGTGCATATTATATATATATAATATAGTATTTAATTAATTATTTTTTTTTAAAAAACTATATATAATTTTTATATCTATTTAAAAAATAAATAAATAATTCATAAATAATTGATAACTATTTAAAAATAATATAATCTCATGAATAATCTATTTTAAAAAAACAAATTTAATATTGTTTTTCAATAAACTAAAAAAAATTTATTTATGGTTTTATTAAGTTTACTTCAATAACAAAATTGATTTTAATATTTTATTTTTTTTATAGATAAATAACATTAGTTTATCATCAAAAAAAATTAATACACACACAATATGTCAGATCGGATCAAATTGAAAAAATAAATAAAAAAATAAAATTATAAAATTAAAAAAAAACAAAAAATAAATTTTCGTGGGAAAGTTATTACACCCCAAATAATATATATATATATATATATATTTAAATAATATAATCCAAATATACTGTACTTAATATTATATAATACTATTTAAATATATAGATTACTTGCATATATATAATATTAAGTATATATATAGATATATATATATATATATAKATATATATATATATATATACAGTGAACTAAAATAAATAAAAATAACTAATAATCTTATTATTTATTTATTCACTAAAATAAAAATATATTTTTCGTTATTAATTGAATGAATGAATGAATGAATTTAAAATTGTATTTAAATATTTTTTTGTGGTCTCTCTCTCTCTCTCTCTCTCTCTCTCTCTCTCTAATAAAAATAAAAACTATACTAATATACTGTATATTTGATATCAATTACAATTGACAGACCAGTAGTAGTAGTAGTAGTAGTAATAGTATTAATATTTAAATTGATTGCCTGAGAGATAGATAGCTAATAATAGTAATAGTATTTATCAATAAAAATAATAATATGATATATATATATATATATCTATTTCATCTCATCGTTAAATAAAAAATTTATTTTCTTATGAAACCAATATTTCTAAATTATGTGTAATTTATTTTTTATTTTTTTTTATTTTCATACTATTGATTGCATATCAATTTGATATTATCATTAAATAGGAGGTTTAGAAAGTGTTTGTTATTTGTTCCCAATTTTATTTTAATATCATTTTTTTAATAAAAAAAAATAATTTGTCAAAATATTTTTGTTTATTAAAAAAATTTTGATCTATAAATAATTAATAGTTATACTTTTTTTTAGTTATTTTAATTTAAAAAATAAAACTATTAGTATTATTATATGTTTTAACTGAAACTGATTTATACTGTATAAATATATATACATATATATATATATTTATATTTATTTATTATATAATTTTGAAATATATGATAATATAATTATAATTATAATTATAATTATAATTATTATTATTATTATTATTATTATTATTATTACTGTATAATTTAAAAACTTCAATCATAAAATAAATATATAAATACATAATTTATTTATAAAATAACATTTATAGTAATAATAGTAATAATAGTAATAATAGTAATAATAATAATAATTTTAAAGATTTTTTTAAACATCTTTAAAATTAAGTTATTATTATTTTTCAATACATTAATTAAGTTATATATATAATAATAATAACACTTTTTAAAAAAATATTATATTTTTTTAATTTTTAAAATAATATATTATTTAATTATATGTATATACATGTATATAATATTGATTTGTCTAACATATATATACAGTATATATATAATTATTTACAACATTATACAGCACTAGAGGGAGATATATGGATCAGTCATCGCTAATGATTGACTCATCGGCACCGACACTACTACCTACTGACCAACCGATAGCACCGGTAGATGATATATCCCGGAAAATACAGCACCAAAAACAACATACATATCATAGGACATCATCTAATAATAATAATAATAATAATTTTAGACACCATTATATTGACGACAATATAAATAATTATCAAAATTATCATTATTGGGAACAGGGAGGTGATGGTGGTGGTGATGGTGGGCCATACATACCAGGTCATCATCATCATCACCAGCAGCACCGGGACATATCATGGCATACCTATACATCAACACCAAACAGCCGTATCTGGTTTACAACATCGACAGCAACAGCACCGGCAGTATATCGGCCATCAATTACACAGAGATTTATACCGCATATTATCAATCATTCAAGTAGTAGTAGTAGTAGTAGTAGTAGTAGTAGTAGTAGTAGTGGGACTGGTATGCCAGCACCTTTACCACCACTACCACCACTACCGCCAATACCACCAGTTCCTAGTAATAATAATAATTGGGATCAAACTAATAATATCAAACCAATAATCAAAAAGCCATATATCTTATCCTATCCTCCTATTAGTAGTGACCCGACTAGTAGTAGTAGTAGTAGTAGTAGTAGTAGTAGTAGTAGTAGTAATCACATGGAGTTCCACATTGGTATTGATGGCCAATCGGACTACAAAAACAATGTCTACTTTAAACAGTTTCAGTATAGTTGGCATACAATTTAAAATAAATAAATACATAATTAATTAATTAATTAAAAATAAAATTAAATAAATAATATTCAAATAATATTTTACTAAAAATTTTGTAACTATAACTAAAAAAAATTTAAATTAGAAAATTAATATAATTTTTTTAGTTAATACAAAATTTTTTAGTTAATACAAAAATTTTTAGTTATTATAAATTTTTGTTAATAATATTTATGTCACTTAAAATTTTTTTTATAACAAAATTTTTTGCTATCCCATAAATCTTTAAACTATATTTAATTGAAATTTTTGTTTTAATTATACAGTTTATTGATATACAGTTTATAGTATAGTAATCAAAAAATAAAATAAAAATAAAATACAAATTTTAATTTCATTGTATAGAAATATTTTTAAAAATTACAATTTTCAATATTAAAATTAAAACTAAATTATTATTATTATTTTTTGTTAACAAAAAATTATTTGATTACAATCTCCTCTTAAAAATATATACTATATATATAAAWTTGTAAATTAATAATAAAATCTATGGAAATATTTKTTTGATTTTTTTCMWKAAAAAAATAAATTTTATTAACCCTGAAATGATTTTATATATATATTATAAATAAAAATTTAAACTCATTTTTGTTGAAAAATTTATTAAAATAAACTTAAATATATTATTCAACACAAAAAAAAATTGTTAAAATTAAAACTCATTTTTTTAAAAGTGTAAAACCTAATTATTTTTTTTTTAAAAATAAAAAATTCAATATTAAGAGTCAATGAAATCATTTAATACTAATAAAAAATATTAATTAATAATTACTACTAGTTTTTTAAAAAACTAAAAAATTTATTTTGTATATTAGTTATCAATGTGTGTGTGTGTGTGTGTGTGTGTGTATGTAATGACATTAAATATCGTTAGTTATATATTATAATAATATAAATGAGGCACACATTTACACATAGCTATATTATGTAGTGTATATTATAGCACAGTTAGGTTAATCTMCCGGTGCACAYACAAATAATTGAGATGTTCTCATTCAAAAAAATAAAATAAAAATTAAAAAAATAAAATTATATATATATATAGTATATATATATAGTATATATAGTATATATATATATATATATATATATATCAAAATGTTTTTTTACAATAATTACTGTAAGTAATGGTACTAATGGTAATAAATGTTTATATCTATATATATATATATACTATTAATATATATATATATTTATTTAATAATTATTTATTTATCTAATTGGTTTGTTTTTAAATTTTTGTTAAATCATATAACTATACATATATTTTTTAAAATAACATTATATACTAAAAATTTTATTGCCAGATATCAATGTAAATTAAAAAACAACATAAATAAATAAATATTTTTGTTGTTGTAAATACTATTATAATGTTAAAACACATAAAACAATATTTATTTATTTTAAAATAATTAAAGATTTTTTTTTATTAAATAGAAAATATTAAATGTTTTTATACAAAAATATGATACTTTAATAATAATAATAATAACTAATGGGATAATACTTAAAAAAATAGTTGAATACAATTAAGATTACATTATATATATATTATAACAACTATTAAATAAATTAAACCTTTAATAATATCATATTTTTTAAACATTTTTTCTATTGGTTGGTATAATCTATAATAAAATTACAATAAAATACATGTTTTCTGTAAACTATAATTTTTTTAAAAAAAATATAAATGTTTTTATTATCAGAGAAAAAAATAAGTTATTTTTTTTAAACTACCGTTTAATTATCAATTTATTTGATATTATTTTTTTTTGATTTTATTAAACAGCATTCAAAAAAAACATATGCAATTTTTTAAACATACAATTAAGATACCTATATTATATATATATATATATATATATATATATATATGTTATATACAGTATATACTGTATMTATTTTAATGGTACAGTAAATTTATATACAGTTAAATATATTATACGATATATTTAATATATTATATAATTACATGGACTGTTATACTGTATTATTAGTATTATTATTAATACATACGTGTATATACTGTATATATATAACACATAGAGATATCAACACTGTATTGAAGATTTTTTACCCACATTTTTAATACATAATATATACTATATATAGTTTATGACATACCTGTCCCCCGGCTATCGATGACTCGTTCAGTCGGTCTCTATGACGTAAATACATACACACACACACATACCGGTACATACATAGACATACATACACACACATATACCGGTACATACATAGACATACATACACACACATATACCGGTACATACATAGACATACATACACACACATATACCGGTACATACATAGACATACATGCATACACATACATACACATACACACACATACACACACACACACATACATACACACACATACATACACACACATACATACACACACATACATACACACACATAGATATTGAAACGGTTGGATAGGTTGCTTAAGGTGTCCGGTGCTGACTCGACGTTATCGGCACCAAAGTGTGTCGGTCTTAGAGATGAGTCGGCACCAACACCTATGTAGTTGAGGACATCAGCGACCACGGTATGGATCTCGCGTTGAGCGGTGATGGCTATGATGAGCCAAACAATAAGCGGTGCTGCGACGGTCAATGAGCTGAGCGGTGCTGTGTCGGCCAAAGTGTTGTAGTGGTGGTGATGGACACGTGAAAGGGACACGCGACTGACACGGCAAGGGAGCCCGTAGATGAAGAGAAGAGAGAAAGCAAGAGAGAGATAGAGAGAGAGAGAGAAGAGAGAAAGTACGGGCCAAAGGCCCAAATGACTTACTCGGGACTTATAACCAAAACCGAGTTTATTAATAAAACATATAAAATAATACTAATACAATGTATTACAATACACTACAGTGTATTGCGGAGTGAAGTGACGGCAACCGACCAGTTCAAGAGTAAGACAACTTGTGTCGAGCATTTCGCTCGACTGAGAGCTCAGCAGTCTGATCGCTGCATAAGCCACTGCCTATTGCGCGCGCAAACTGTTAAACTCTGCATTCATATTTGATGACAACTTTTACATATACTACTACTTTGCTCTTATTGGTTAGTTCAAACTCTGCCTATTTTTGATCAGTCGCACACTACCACCTAAAGGCAAATTCTCATTTGCATTAAAATACAATACACAAGTGCGCTTAGAAATTAATTAATTCATTAATGTTAAAGTATATGAAACAAAAACCCTTGTTAACCCCTGTATATAAAATGTTTAAACCAATGGTTAAATAGTATTCACTGAAACGCAAGTGCGTCACTACATTTACTGACACTATACGTGTCACAAACTAAACCTATATGTTTGTATGTTAAAGTATAGCTAATGTTATTTCTATGGCATAATTATAATAGTAAATGTGCCGCTTATGTATTTTCTATGGGTATACTAAACCCGTGTTTTCTATTACTAAATATGCCGTTAATGTTATTTCAATGGGAATACAAATTTCATATATTACTATGTATTTAACACTGCTGTCAAAACATACAACTATGCAATACATAATTTGTAATAAATATATAATTTGAGTACATTTACTATTGTTTTAAGTGATCTATTATTATTCCGCTACAATATATATACTGATGTTTTACTGATGTAATAGTGTGGTCAATGTCCTCTCAAAAATATTTTTTGAAAAAATAACACAATTTTTATTTTGAAAATACCAAAGGAGTTAAGGGTTTTTTTTGTGTTGCAATTATTATTATAATTAGTAGTAGTAGTAGTAGTAGTAGTAGTAGTAGTAGTAGTAATATATTTTTTAAGTAAATTATTTCAATCACTAACTAACATATGTTAAGCTATGWCTATGACTACTACTACTACTACTACTACTACTACTACTACTACTACTACTACTACTACTAAATGTAAATAAAAAAAAACAATTTTAACTTAAGATTTTAAAAAAATATCTCTAACTTTAARAGATAAAAAATATTATTATTATTTTTAAAATTAAATAATTATATTTTAAAATTATTAATTTGATTCATTCATATTATATGTAATAATTATAATTTTAATCATAATTACAATTTTAATTATAATTGTAATCATATTATATACTAAAAAAAACTAATTTATATATAGATATATAATATTATTGAATATTTAAAATTTTTAGAAAAAAATAAGACATTATTTTAATCGGGAAATTAGATTTAAAATTTATTACACTATAATAATTGAATAAAAATAAATAACTTATTGAATAAATAAAATACTAACCAAAAAAAATTGTATTTTAAAACACAAAAATTTACAGTAAATTACTTTTTTTAAATTCATTAAAAAATTATTTATTAAAAAACAACTAAACATTAATTTTTTTTAAATATGTTTTGTTCATATAATTAAAAATATTTAGTATTTTATATATATAAAAATATTGAAATAATAATCTTATGTTTTATATAATTATTTTGAAATATTATAATTAAATAATAAATTTGTTATTTTAAAATACAAAATCTTTTCAAAATACATATTTCTATTACTTTTTATTTTTTACTATTAGTTTTATTAAAATATATTTATAGCATTTAAATATATATATAATACACTATTGATCAACAATGTTTAAGCAAGCAAATAAATTTAATTAAATTTTCAATTTTTTCAAGCATATATAATGTATTAATTTAAAATAAATATATATATTTTAAAAACTTTAGTTTTCAACAACAAAAAAAACAATATTTTAGTTTTAAAAATATATTTATCTTTGTATTTAATTTTTCAATATACGCATCAATTAATAATATGTTATAATAATATATTTATATAAAAACAAATTATTATTTCATTATATAATAACTACATAATACTTAAGCTATATTTATATATATTTATTGTATTGGAAATAATTAATAATAATAATAATAATAATACACTTAAAAAACTTTTTGAATGTCAACAAAAATTATTTTTATGTATTATATATTTTTGTTTGTTTTTTTAATAACATTATATTATTTTATAATATTTTTAAAAAATACTTAATTTTAAATGAATATATAATAATTTTATGAGCAAATATTAATACTATTTTTTTTTATTATTATTATTAATAATATTTTTTATTGTTGAAAACTATAACTATAAAACCTATATAATATTATGCATTTAAATCAAAATTATTATTTTTTTTAAAAAAATAATTATTTATTTCAATGTTTTAAACACTCTAAATACTATAAATAAATTTGATTATCTTTACTGTATATAATTGATATTAAAAATATTAAAACAAAATTTTATTACATAAAATAAATCATAATAAATAAATAAAAACAAAATAAAAAAATCTATATTAAAATGTAATAATAATAATAATATGTATTTTCAATTTATTTTCCAATAATTGCTTTTATCTGATTGCATGAAAAATGTATTTAGTTTTTAATTTAAACAAAAAAAATATTAATAAATATTATTTATTACATATTTTTTTAAAAAAATAATTATACTGTAAATGTGTGCATAAATTTGTATACATATGTAAATATATTTATTTATTTATTTAATTTTTTTTAAAAATAACAATTCTTAATAATAATAAATTAATAATTGATATTTTCAACAACAAAAAAATAATAATATTTAATAATTATTTCAATCAAATATAAATCAATTGACTTAAACATAAAATATTATTTTTTGTTATTATTATTATGCAAACAAATTAATATCAATTAATAATTATCATTTGATATTATATACAGTAATAATTGATTTATTTATTCAAATATATAAATAACAATCTAATAAATAATAATAATAATAATAAATGTTTGATTATATATTTAAATGGGTGTAACATTTGATTAGCGGTTCAAATGTTTCAATAATATATATTTTTTTCTTAAATATTAATTTAAATATTAAGCTGTTATTTATTTTTAAATTTATTAAAACATGTAAAACTAATTTTCAACATTTATTTATATATATATATTATTACATAAAAATAGATTTAAAAAAATTGTATATTTATTATATATAAATCATATAAATATTTGTAATTAATTACTAATTGGTATAAATTATATAATCATTTCTATTCAAAATAAAAGTGTTGATATTTTCAAAAATTTTATTGAATCTATATATATATATATATAAATTAGTTTTTATTATAAATTAATTATTAATTATTAAATATTGWATTTATTAGTAAAAACGCGATATCTTGTTGTTGTTATTATATAACACTTACATAAAACGTTTAAAAAATACATATTTGATAATTAAAATAAAAACTTATATATAATATATATATATACAGTATATATATGTATATAATTTAGCTGACATTCATTTTAAATACATATATATATATACTGTATATAACATAACATATAGTAGTTATATAAAGTATATATATATTAATACAATATACTGTATATATATATTTAATTTATGTATTAATATTTTTTTATTTATTTTATTTTTTATTTAAAAAAAATATATATAACAAAAATTGAAAAATTGAGGTCATCATTTTATTTATGATCTAATTTTTTTCTGCTTATACATATATATATAGTATATATGCATATTAAATATTTTATTTATTTATTTTTTATTTGTTTGTTTGATGAAATTAAAAATATAAAAATTTTTTGTGACATCAATAGAGGATGTCATTTACTTTTTAAAGTGTTTTACTTTATGTAAATTTTTTGTGTGTTTTTTTTTATTTTTGGTTAACAGAAAGAGAGAGAGAGAGAGAGAGAGAGAGAGAGAGAGAGAGAGAGAGAGAAACAATATTTTTATTATTATTATAAATATAGACTATATTTATAAATAAATAATATATATAAAAAATATTATGCAAATTAATATATTTATATATATATATATATTATTTTACATTAATAAAATAAAACTTAATATGTACAATTGTATTATTTATTTTTATTTTTTGTTGTACATATATAAAATCTATAATTAAACTATTTTTTAAAAAAAAATAAAATTTACATATATTTTTAAAAATTGATAATAAAAAATAATCTTTTTATTAATAAAATTTAAAATGTTTTTTATATTTATATGATTTGTAATAATTTTTTTGTTTTTTTAAACTATACATCAATTGAAACTTATTGCATATATAAATAAAATTTTT